CTCTGGTACTCTCTTCGGTCCAAGCTAATCGATGCACCCCTCGAAACATAGGAAAATCCACTAACCCCTCATTTTATCTGTCAAACTTTCATATAGCGAATCTAAACAAACATTGTGTAGTAGTAGAATTTCGACTAGAATGGGGTACGTTAATCGTTTGCTTGGGACCAATAGGCTAGTCAAGTAGTGAGCCAATTTAAAATCGCTAGTTTCGTATTGATTGTTGGCTATACTACAGTATGCGTGATAATGTTTGCACCATCGTACAAATAAGGTTCCCGTTTCACCTGTGCATACAATGCCTTGGTTTTCTTTGCATGCACGTAGCCTACACAAAAACAAAATCCATTAGCAAAAATACTATATTGATGGTTTAAATTAAATACTCCCACCAATAGATTTGTGCAGAAACGAAATTCATTTAATTTTACTAATTTTTCTATCAAAACTACTATACCGTTTGAGTAAGCATAGTAGTATTGACAGAATGGTAGTAAATTTGATTATATTTATAGTCAACTATACTGAAATCATGGTAGATTCAACGGTATTAAGCGTACACACTACGAAAAAGACAAGTAAATTTTAGTGCCCTGAGCATGACACATGTAAACGGCCCTTTTGACATAAGAATCAGTTGAAAAGGACGAGAAAATAAATTCAATCAAACGCACTTTTCGTCGAGTTGCACATGTTTCAGTTTCAGGACACTTACTTTTACATGCCATGTTTGTTATGGTTCCATGATTTACGTCAAAACTGAATTACGTCTCGTGTCAAAATAGTAATTTCTAAGTGTGTAGTTATACTGAAAATAAGTGTTTTCTGCAAAATAGTATTCCTAACTATTATCTTTGTTTCAGTGTATAGGTCATACCGTAGTAGGCTGTGTATAAAAGAAAATGATTTACTTAATTTGACAGTTGCACCATGACGAAGTGGCAGCGTATTCGTGATTTGTCCCACGCGCAAATGTCGCAAAAAGACATGTCAATCGCCGTGGGAGTGTCCCGGTGGACCGTCAAAAAGATTTTAGATCGAGAAAAGAAAGGACAACTATCCGCGAAGGTGGCCACAGGTCGTCCGAGGTCAGCTCGGGTTCCGAGGGTTATCACTGCGAAGGATATGTGGCCGCCATCCAGCCCCGATCTTAATCCGCTGGATTACTCAATATGGCGCGTCATGAAGGCCAAGGCCTGTTCTAAACGCTACCCGTGTACAGCAAGCCTCAGACAAACACTGACCCGTACCTGGAGAGAAATGGATCCAGACTACATTATTACAACCTGCCGTGCACTCTGGAAGCGTGTGGAGGCCGTAATTGCAGCAAGAGGAAACTCGATCCTTGATTAACATAGTTTAAGACTCTGAGAATAAATTTAAAAAAAAACTCGAAAACGAAATTTTTGAGAATTTTTTTAATTTTGACATTACCACGCAAACGGTATTTGGGAATGAATAGCTCTCCAATCAGAATTCACAACATGAAAAGCATGACAATTAACATGGCCGGCCACGCCCATCTTCTCCGTTACAGGGAAAGGAAGGATATTGTTGATGTAACATCTACTTAACGGAAGGCGAGCTCACCGACGCTCCTATAAATACTACGGATTTGAATAGTTGGGTAGGAGATGGGTCTGGATTCGCTGAAGCAGACGATACGACCATAGTAATTGTTTTGTTTTGGAGGAGCTTGGGAATAAACCCACGATCTTCTACTCAGTAAGCAAAAGCGGTAGCTGTCAAGCTAGCCGAGCTCCTCAATTTCAATTAAAATCCTGTTTAATATAAAATGTAAATAAACAAAAAAGAAGGGTCTCGCCCGAATGATCGAATTTGCTCCTGTATATGGATCTATTAGTGAATAATTTACGATAATTACAACAAAACATAAAATAAAATATTGACTGCAGACAAAACGTGACTACACCTAAGTAACATTGATTGGTAGCTTCATGAAGGTTTTAAAGCATTCTACACGTCAGCTATTCTTCAGGATACACTTTTTTCTACCTATCTTTCTATGAGGCTTATGGACATGCGTTAGCTTCGAAACTTCTAACCAAACTGGGAAATCTAACAGATCACAAAAAAAAAATCAAAACTAAAAACTGTGAGATCCTTATTCTCGTAACCACTTCGAAACTTTAAGTGCACAAATATCAGCTTTCACGACACGTTCCACAATGAAGCTGTTACTCCACGTTTGCTATACTGCAGCATACAAGAAGTAGCAATTTCAGCTAAAATGAGGCATTAATTTCAGAGATGTGTGTAGTTTTAAATTCAATATGGAAGTGCATGTATAGCCTACCATTTGTTGGACTCTACAAGGAATCACCTTAAAACGTTTCAAAATCAACTGAAAACTAATAAATGAAAATAAAAAAAGGTTATTTTACTTGAAAACGAATATTGAACAAAAAATTACCGTGAATATTTGTCTTAGACGTCATTTCGATCAGAAGCAACGTTTTCGTGCTACAATTTATTGAAAAATATCAAAGACGTCATTTTGAAAAAAAAGTTATAAGATCCTAAATGGATGTTTTTTTGCAAAAATGTGAATGATTGCCCATAACACCCAGTTATGCAAAGTTTCATGCAAATCGGAGAAGGTCGAGTCAACATTTTAATTTTTTTTATCCCTTTGGCCTGGAACTGGTTTGATGTTTTAGTAAGGTTTATTTGGCCGTGAAAACCTATAACTTAAGCACTAACTTTGCAGTGACATGTGACAGCATTCGTGATTTTTTATGATGAAATTCTGGTGCATACAGCTGTGTTCGATAAAATAGCAGCGCATGCCGATTTTCATACAAAATGGTCAACTTTGACATGATGTAACTTTGTTAACTTATGATCAATTGAGCTGAAACGTTCGCCAAAGAACTTCAAATATGTTCAGTTTTACGATTACAAAATATTAAATTTTTGGAAGTACCTGCCGGAAAGTGAGGCACCAGTTAAGTTTGTTCAAAATAATAGCAGTTTTTTTATTTGAAAATTTACGTGCTGCAAATATTTTAAACATTTTTAACTATTATGTACATATGTTAATTGGGTGGGGATTGTTAGAATTTTGAGAAATGTAAAATTTAAAATCTCAAAATTAAGCGGCAATGGAAATTATTAGCACTGCTATTATTTTGAACAAAAGCTACAGTAGGTAGCTCCTAGTAGACCATTCAAACAACAACAAAAATGATACATAGAATTTTAGAGTTGAGAGGAAATGCTATAGTAATATCAACAATAAGCTTTAATGCGATAATTTATTAGCTAGAGAAAATTCTGAAGAGGATGGATTGATACTTCCGTTAGTGTACGGCAGTGTCAATCTATCCTCTTCAGAACTTTCTCTAGCTAATAATGTATCGCACTAGCGCATCATGTTGATATTAGTGTAGTATTTCCTTCCAACTTTCTGAAATCATAAACTTCACGGATGAAGTAACAAACACTTTGGTTGAATATAGAATTTTATTTTTTTTAGATCTCGAAAACCGCAAAACTGTATTTTGCCCAGCCTTAGTCATACATACCTATGATACACTTACTTCGATAATAATCACGTGTTTATTGCTTCAAATAATGCCGCCTTTCGCCTCTCGCCGGCACTTATTTACAACCCTCGACGAATTCATGCCATTCCAATGCTATCACCCGTCCATATAAACTAATCGTCAATCGAATCATTTCCTTTCTCTCTGAAGGCCAACACGCAAGAGTCAAAACCAAAAAGAAAAAGAAAGAAAGACCGCAAATGGAAGAGGGAAAACCTTCAAGAACACCTTCACCAATCGAAGCGGAACATCCATCAACCGACCAACCAACCAACCAGAAACCGGGCAGGCACAGGAAGAACGAAGTCAACCAATCCGATAAACCGTCATCATTTTCCTTTGCACATGGAGCTTCAAAAACATACAATCGTAATTTGATTTCTGAGATTCTTTTTTATTATTTTTCCATCTTTTCTTCGGTCGATCGCGAGGGATGACCTTTTTCTTCTCTCGAATATCGCGCTTCGTCAAAAAACGGAACAATCGTAACCTGAACAGCAACGGCAAGGCAGCAGAGCGGCCGAGCGAGTAGCTGTTAATTTTCACGCCTGCTACTGCTGCTGTGGCGCTGATCCGTAGGATTTCCAATTGATCGAATGATTTTATCTTTCGTATCTTCTTCTTTTAGGGTTTTTTTTTTGTAAATAACAATAGTTAAAGCATATTTTTTTTGTCTGGCTTTAATCAATTTTATGTTCTTTTTTTAAGTTAGATTTAAATATTCAATTTTCTTAATTAGTAATAAAGAAAATTAGCATTAATAATAAAGAAAGGTAATGTACTTTCTATGATCTAACGATTTTACATCTCTTTTGCACACAAGAGAGCTGCGAAGAGAGACGAACACGAATTTTCCACGTTGCTTTAGAGATTGGGGGAAGGAGGAAGAGAAATGCAACAAATGCAAAACACGAAAGAAAAAAAAAACAAATCACTGCAGAGTGCGGAATGGGAACGAACAAACGAACGAAACGAGGAAAAAACGGAATGGCAGTTTCTCTTTGAGAGGCAAAAAAGTGGTATAACAAGAGGGTATTGATTTTAGTTTGTTTTTCCGTTTTTTGAAATTACTTCACTTTTATTCTTTCTTTTGCTGAGCTGGCAGTGGTTACTAATTTTGCGACTTTTCTCATGCTGCTTTTCGATTTTTTAGTTTTTGTAGGATTTTTGTATGCTGCGCTGGCTTTTTGCTGTTGTTACTGCTGCGTTTGTTTTCTTCGTATTTCTTCTGTTGTTGTTTTTTGTTGGATTTGATGGTGTTGTTTTCTCTCTGATCGATACTTTTTCGGTTTTTCTTTTCGAAAAAAGAACGTTGCATTCTCTCTGAGTTGGTACTTTTCGTTTTAGAAGAGGATTAGTAGAAGTGGCGCAGATAGTAGGAAGTTTTTGGAATGAAACAGAGAAGAGAGTTTTCCATTTTTTTTTAGGTGAGGAGAGGGGCGGGGTAGGTAGAGAAGGGAAGGCAGGTTCGTGTGTGTGAATGAATGAGAGCTCAATTAGTTTAGTTTTCGTCAACTTCAGCTTCCTGCTCTTCGTCGAATTCGGCATCCTCGTCGGCGGTCGCCTCCTGGTACTGTTGATATTCGGACACCAGATCGTTCATGTTGCTCTCGGCTTCAGTGAATTCCATCTCGTCCATGCCCTCACCAGTGTACCAATGCAAGAAAGCCTTACGACGGAACATAGCGGTGAATTGTTCGGAGATACGCTTGAACAGTTCCTGGATGGCGGTCGAGTTGCCGATGAAGGTAGCGGACATCTTCAATCCTCGTGGAGGAATATCACAGACGGCAGTCTTGACGTTGTTGGGGATCCATTCAACGAAGTAGCTGCTGTTCTTGTTCTGGATGTTCAGCATCTGTTCGTCGACTTCCTTCATCGACATGCGTCCACGGAAAACGGCGGCAACTGTCAGGTAACGTCCATGTCGTGGGTCGCAGGCGGCCATCATGTTCTTGGCATCGAACATCTGCTGGGTCAGTTCTGGAACGGTCAGGGCACGGTACTGTTGCGAGCCGCGGGAGGTCAATGGAGCGAAACCAGGCATGAAGAAGTGCAGACGTGGGAATGGAACCATGTTGACAGCCAGTTTTCGCAGATCGGCATTCAGTTGACCGGGGAAACGCAGGCAGGTGGTAACTCCAGACATGGTCAGCGAGACGAGATGATTCAGATCACCGTAGGTTGGGGTTGTGAGCTTCAGGGTGCGGAAGCAGATATCGTACAGGGCTTCATTGTCGATACAGTACGTCTCGTCGGTGTTTTCGACCAGCTGGTGCACTGAAAGGGTGGCGTTGTAGGGTTCTACGACGGTGTCTGATACTTTTGGCGATGGGACAACTGAGTATGTGTTCATAATTCGGTCGGGGTATTCCTCACGGATTTTCGAGATCAAGAGTGTGCCCATACCGGAACCGGTACCACCTCCGAGCGAATGGGTGAGCTGGAATCCCTGCAGGCAGTCGCACGATTCGGCTTCCTTGCGGACAACGTCCAGCACTGAGTCGACCAATTCGGCACCCTCGGTGTAGTGTCCCTTGGCCCAGTTGTTACCGGCACCGGACTGTCCGAAGACAAAGTTGTCCGGGCGGAAGATCTGTCCGAATGGTCCCGAGCGGACAGAGTCCATGGTACCGGGTTCCAGATCGACTAGCACGGCACGTGGCACATACTTGCCGCCGGAGGCTTCGTTGTAGTACACATTGATGCGTTCCAGCTGCAGATCTGAGTCACCATGGTAGGCTCCGGTGGCATCGATTCCATGCTCGTCGGAGATGATTTCCCAAAACTGCGGAGGAAGAGAAAATAAAGAGGGAAAAATGTTGCGGTTAGGAATGTCAGTTGGTATTATGGTATCACGATGGAAACAGTTTAATGGGAAAATTTCCCGGCAAAACTAAAGAAACGGAAGTGACTTGTTTGATTGATTGTTGCCTCACTGGAAGGTCATTAATTATTCTTCGGTGAAATGACCCAGCACCTACTACAGATTTTTTCAAAATTTCCAAGCCATTCTTTGGGAAAAGTGAAGTGAAGTGAAAAGTTGATTAAATGACCCAAACCCCGAAGGATAGTTCTAATTTTGGGAAACGATTTCGATTCGTTACCGTTATTTTCTATAGCAATCAAGCATTCAGATAAATGACCCGCCCCAAGGTAGTTTCAATTAAGATACGATTCTATGTTTTTGAAGCAAGTCAAGAGGCGTTTCCCACATCCTTGTGCTAGAACAATCAGAGCATTTGCTCCTTCCATTAATTTAATTTCCCCTTGATTTAATAGCTTTGCCCTCCAAAACGACAGAAGAGATATTAATCTAACAACTTTTACTGTCGTTTTTTTTTTGGGAAAGTTGCCACCGGTACTTCGCTTACTTGCTTGCACACGGTGACTCATCGTAGTCCTTTTGGCAACCAAAACTTGTACGATTATACCGACGAGGCACGCGATTGGTCGATAGAAGCCGGTCTCTAACGCATCAGACCGTAACGAAGACACTCATACTCGTCGCCGGCCAGGATTTACTGAACACGATGAGTCATGGCTTTTTCATATTTCTTCCCCGCCTTAACATCCTCCCAACGCCAGCAGTCCCACGACAAGGATTCGGTTTTGTCGATAAATGTCGCATCGCATCGCCCCAGTCTCTCACACGATACGAGCCCAAGATCCTGACAGTGCGCATGCTCGGTACAGGAAGGACCCTCTCACTGTTGCCATGTGGGCACAAAATGGGCCGTTGAACCCATTAGGATGTGGTGAGTCATTCTTCTTTAGGGTAGGGGCGTGGAACGAAAAAAAAAAATGAGACCATGGGGCTGCTTCCTTTGTTTCGACACCTGGTAATTATTCTACCGCCGCCGCCGCCACCGACCGGACGGACACTCGGGGTTTGGCGGCGATTTGTTTGTTCCGACTTTCTCACCATGGTTTCTCGGTTCGAATTAGTCGATAAAAAAAACGAACGAAGAAAATTGCTTTCAATGTTTCGCTACTTTGGTAGTCGTGCACAGCAGGAGGAGAATCGATGATGGAGAAAGGAGAAACTACAGCGATTGGAAAGCTTGTTTCTCTCTATGCCGTACCACCAGGTGTGTGTGGGCTGCTGCAGAGCAGACGTAGATACAGGTGAGCCACGTCACCCACACGAGCGATTCGATGAAAGATTCAGGCCACTCGAAAATTGCTTATTGAGGACATAGCTCAAGCCTCAAGTGCACACAGAAACGATCGAATGGAGCAACCGGGCGCTGGTAGCGACAGCAGTTCACACTCCCATGACCATAAATGGAGGAAATGAGAGGAATTTGCATTGGTGTTTGCCTCCCCGCCCCTCTCGCATCTTACATTTCAGCTGTGCACAGACTGGAGGGTCAATACGGCAGCAGTGCGGACGGAGGTGATGTCATCCTACGCGAATGGATCGTGCGCGCAAGCAGAATGACACAATACTCGGAGATACAATTTGATACCGGTTTTTATAGTTCCATCAGAATAATCTTTCGAAAGCTGGGACAAATGATTTGTCACTTCGGACAGATTATACTCGTGGCGGTACAAATGTTAATTACTACCGAGCGCCATATGTGGTCAAGTTCCATTCGAATTAACGGATGGCGACATTATCATTGAAAAAATAGCCTCCCTAATGAAGTGACCTTAATTCTACTCTGCAGCCGCGTGATTACAATCTAGAGAAAAAGTGCTCAGACCGATGCGCGATGATGATGATGATGTCATCCGCAGAGTTGGAAGTGACACGCAAACACGCTTTTTCTAATACCGATTGAATGCCGCCAAGGAAGGGTAGAGTCGAGCTTTTTTTTTTAACAACCAGAGCTACAAAGTATTATCAGTCTGACAGAGCGACGAGAGCTGGACTCAACGCTTGACTACCATCGGTGAAGTGCAGATGATAAGGAATGTAAACAGGAGGTAGATAGCTCCCCTGAAGATTTGTTTGAATACAGCACAAACAATGCAGTTTTAAGGCGAGCAGTCGCTAATGAGGCAAAGATAAACCTAGAAGAAATTTTTGCCAACACCTGATAAGAACAAAGAAAAGCTTTAAGCGACTTGGATTTTGGAATGTACAATGTACACCCTCTAAGTGCCGAGGGGAGTTGTTACGTAAAAGGGATGAAGATATTCAAAATTGATGAATTTTAGCTGTAGACAGTTTCAGTAAAACCTTTGAGTGGCATGCTTTGATATCTCCGCACACACAAAAAGAGTGGAAGTGGGTATTCACGGAGAAAAAATACTACCCAAAATTTGAGTTCTTTTTACTTAATATTGACTTCAGCCTCTCACTTGCACTCGTTATTGTTGTCAAAAAAGGAACGAGAGATTCGACCCAACGATATAGTTCAGCCCAATAAGCTACTTATGAGTAAATTGCATATTCTCAAATTTGCGTGAATTAAACTTAATTTTGGGTAGAATATACTTAAGAGTAGGTAATTTTTTTTGCTGGTGTTAAATGGAAACTACTATATGCGATTTACTCAAATTTGGGTTATTGGGCTGAACCCCGGAATTGAGGGAAAAGTACTTAATTTTGGGTTGTTTTTCATCTCCGTGTTATTTAAAACTGACAGGATATGAGCTTGCGCTATTTTTAGCCGCTGTAAACAAATTTGCGGAAACCTGCAATTTTACGAGTGTGCTACATTTCACTTTACCCAGAATAAGAAAAATCTAATTCGGCGTAGGTACAACCGGGAAGGTGTACAGTCTTCTACAGTACTCTCGCATACATTTATGCGAATACCAGAATTTTTACGAAGGATTAGCATTGCCAAAACAATAAGTGCCAGAAAGACGACAATTAAGGCTGACATAAAAGAAAATAACATTAAAGTTTCAAAATTAGATAGACCATTTTTTTGTGATCCATCAACCAAATTCTAACGTTCTGGCTCCGAACTTATGTAATTCTGATTACGTAACTTGGACTGTATAGGTCCAGGCGGTATTTTCAACTATAGATAAACATTTCAAAAGGTCCTATCTGCATTAATCGATTCTCTTCATCGACTTTCTCTTCATAACTCAGCTGCAAAACCTTTGACTGTTGTATTAGACGTTTTGGACGGTAGATAAGAACCTCCTTTATCAAACTATGTAGCAAAAATAACGCAAAATCTGTTTGCATAGCAGTGATTATAAAAAGAGTAAGTCGATAGAGAGAATCGATCAAAGCAGGTAGGACCATTTGAAATGTTCATCGAGAACTGGAAGCCCGAGCAAAGTCTGAGATCAAATTGAAATCTAAATTTGATGTTGTGATTTTGCTGATAATGATTACTCAGGTTGTTGTCGTTTTGGTCGTTTTAACGGTTAAAATATCGAAATTGAGAGCAAACATATCTTCCTGTGACATCACATTGAAAACTATTTCTGCTATCAGTGAGAGCAAACTGAAAACCAAATTTGCTATCCATTTTTCCTGTTGATAACAAAACAAGTACACTGGAGTCGCTTTTTACGCGGGTGATACGTCTCGCGTAAAAAAAAAACCGCGTAAAAAAAGACCGCGTAAATTCCGGAATCCGCGTAAAAAAAAACCGCGTAAATTCCAAAATCTGCGTAAAAAAAACCGCGTAAAAAAAGACCGTGTAAGCAAAAAACCGCGTAAAAAGCGATATACCGCGTCAATTCTGAGATCCGCGTAAAAAAAACCAAAATCCGCGTAAAAAAAACCGCGTAAATTCCGGAATCCGCGTAAAAAAAACCGCGTAAATTCCGAAATCCGCGTAAAAAAAACAAAATCCGCGTAAAAAAAACCGCGTAAATTCCGGAATCCGCGTAAAAAAAACCGCGTAAATTCCGAAATCCGCGTAAAAAAAAAAACCGTGTAAAAAAAACCGCGTAAAAAGCGACTCCAGTGTATTCAATTTGATGTTATGCTAAGGCAATGAAAACAAACCCGTAACAACATATTTTAAAAGAGTAAATGTACAGCAAAATGAAAACTAAATTTGGTATCAAATTTGTCAATGTGTAAACTGAAATCAAATTATGATTTCAGTTTGATGTTGATATCAAAACTTGATTTCAATTTGTTGTCATTTTGATGCTGGACTTTGCTCGGGAGAGGCGTTACGTTACCTTACTATACATTATCGGACCGTTTCTGCTATAGGTAAAGTACTGAGTTTTCGTTCTAAAATTCGATGTTTTTCCTGGTGCATAGGGTATATGTTCCTTATCTGGGTCCAATAAGGAGCCATCAAGTGCGTTTCTGTTCATAACCTGACATATACATTGACCTGCCTGAGAAATTCCAGTGTCAATATAAACTTATCACGTCGTTTTAAAAGTTGGCCGTCCAAAACGCCTTTTAAAAAACTAAAACCGCTCGGAAAGAACTAGAAAATGAACACCAAAACGGGTCTAAAATGCCAGATTCAGGATTTGGAAGAAATATCCAAAAGAAAATTGGGTGGGTTTGGCTGGAAGTTTTGAGCATATTTCATATTTTTTTGTTATGTTCCAGAAGATTCTTCAGAAATTTCCTAGGGAATTCTAAGGAGAGTTTCAAGAGAATTCCAAAAAGTCTTCCTCAAGAGCATCTTGAGAAGCATGTCAAGGAAATGCTGAGAACAATTCAGAGAATTCAGAGGTGAAATTCAAGAAAATTTTGGGATAACACTTTCCGAAATTCTAAATTAATGACATACCAAGAGATTTCCATGGATATTCCCAGCGAATTATAGAATAATGGAGAGAAATTGAGTGCGAGACTTTTTAATAATACAAAGATAAATGTCGAGTTAATTTCAA